TTCAATCCCAGGAATTTCACTCGCTGTTAATTGCATGGGAGTGGCAGTCTTTAATGAATTTCTATTGTCATGTCAATTTCTTGCGATTACTCGAACATTAAGCTGTAACCACATACCGCCTAGGTGCTGTAATTAAATCCTGGTGTAAGCACCATATGAACTATGAACAATGCATGTGAAGCCAGCTGTGGGGTATATTCAATCCTATAGATTTCTCATTGTTTGGTAACTATTTGCTGCAAATGCAACAAAAATCAATATAAAAAATATTACCGACACAGTATTCTACAGGTTACTTGTTATATATATAATTTATAGTAATGTGACCTCTGTCGACATTCCCCGTGCATGCACTGTAACATACATTCATATATATTAATTTTTCTCGACAGGACTGTTTTTAATTATGGTAGGAGGACAAAAGAAACTAGAGATGGTGCCGTTTGGTGTTATCTTGGTCGTAGTACCAGTTATAGCGTTCAGTATTTATATATCACTCAAATGGTATAGATCGAGACACGGTGTCACAATGCCGTCGTCATCATCGTCGTCGTCTATGAGATGCCTACACCAGACAGAAATAGATCAGAATAACCAAATATCGACCATCACGTGATTACTGTATGTAACCATGGTGATGTGACAATATTGTTAAAGGATATTTCCATAACAGGATCAGCTGATGCAAGCACGATATCCCATTTGAAAACAGAAATTACTCGTACGTCTTGTGTTTCAGTCGGTTTTACCATATACTCGGGGTCCAAACTTGAAGCAGTTTTGAAGAAATAAGTTCCGGCAGTGACAAAATCGTGCAGCATGGTAGCCCATAGAGATATGCGGAGTATTGCAATGAATTTTGTATATCATATTATTATTGTCGACTATAATAGTCGATTTTATTTGCACGAACTTTACCGGGACAATTCCTTATGCAATGTAATATTAAATGGTCACAAATTCCCTCTATTGTGTCATGATATTGAGTACTGTGCCAAACGATTTAACACTGCAACAGATAAACGGGAAGAATCATGTTTTCCAGACAAAGTTAACGGCAACCCTCTTTCCACAAATAAACAAGTAAACAGAATATTAACTTATTGATTGGATTTTGAAGGGAACCAAACTAAAAGGACCCGGCTGGACATATAGCATGTAAACATTTTGCGTGTAGAACAACTAAGGTAGAAGCCTACTCATAAATTAAAAAAAAAACAGAATTTATTCATTTTGCAATAAATTGTACTCCAATGCAATATAAGGATATTGATCTAGTTGGGGTCACCACTCTTTTTTTCGGGAAATTGTTGGTTGTATTTTAGTGAAAAGTCGTCATTTTTGTCACTATTATAACACTTTACCACAGGTTCCTATGGCAGAGATATTATGCAATATCTCAAAATCTAGCCTGGTGACATAGGCTGAAAAAATCATATATTGTTAATGATGGAGTACTTTTTGTTGTTCTGAATTATTTAAAAAATCTGGGTTTTAAAAAGTGTCAAAAAATGTAATTTTTATTTAACATTGTGTTCTATGAAATTGTTCTAAAAATAGCAATTTTCAAGAAATATTAGGACATGTTTCTCAAAAAGCATAACTGTAACACACAAAATAATGCTATTTCGTTGTACCATGATTGTACATAATAAACTAATGAAAATTGTCATGCGATTTATGACCAATTTTGTCAAAAATTATGACTAGGCTTCCACCTTAAACAAGGTATTTATGCAATCTCTCCCATTTCTATTATGCAAGTGATATATTTATTATTTAATTTCTGTTTCAACAGGCTAAAAACCAAGTTACATGCATCGGAAGGTAAAACAAACAGTAACACACTACACCACACTAGACAATGACATTCTATTAAATAAATGTTAAAACGGGTATCAACTTATAATGATTTAAACCACTGGCATATGAGATTTTGCAATTTTGCTAAAAATTAAAAATAAACATGAAATCAAAACAGATTCTGTTGAAAGGGCTATATTCCATATCCCAACAGTACAAATTACAATTTATAACATTTATTCGACATTTTAAAATAAATATGAAAGTAGTGAAAATTTATAGAATACGAGAATAATGTAATGGTTATTTGGTAATTATAAACACTCATTTCATTGATTCAATTGTCTGAGCGTTTCGCATTCGAATGGCTGCTTATAATTTTACCAGATGGAAAGAAATTGAAGAAAAAAACGTTAAGAGCTGAGAACCAACGAGCAATTAAACAAATCAATTGACGATAATAGCTGAGAACCAACGAGCAATTAAACAAATCAATTGACGATAATAGCAACTCCACTTTATTTGTTTGTTGAATTGACCAATGCAGTCTGAAGGAAAATAAGAAGCTGAGAACATCCCCACTCCAGCTACTAGTAAACATGTGATTATCGTATGTTCACTGTTACAGACAGTTCTCAACTGTTTCTGCCTATAATAATCTTCAATTTCGGTAGACTATATTTGGTCGTTGAATTGCCTGTGTATTGCATTTACATGACACCATAACATCAAATTTAATGTCCATCTTTCGTTTCTAAAAAGACCCTTACGTTTTATATAAAGGGATTGTGATTATATCCTTGAAATATTGCAAACAAATACACACATGTGACATTAAAGACAACAATATTTTCTAAAAAAAAGAATGAAGCTACATTATTTTTAAAACTATTAAAAGTACTAAAAATATCAACAGTGCACAGGGAATGTATGATGATTTTCGAACATTTAAGCGACATTTTAAAATGTGGAAGGCATGCGTTGGAATAACTATGGCCCCAATAATGACCCTTGGGGTACCCCGGAAGTGACTTCGCACCCGGCCATGTTCCATGAACTGCAAATCATTCAAAAAACTGTTTCGTGTCAGCCATATGTAGCCAACATTACACTACACATCATTTTTACAGCATAGGTCACCGAACAAAATTGTCAGATATGATGAATGTTTCTGACATAGAACTAATTGTAAACTACTGAAAATACGCATTTTTGTTCAATTTTCGAGGTCTTTTTGTGGAAAACTTATCTTTGTTTTCAGAATCTTGAACATTACAGGCACCTAACCCCCTTTGCTGGATTGCGAGGATTTCTGAATATGTTTTTTTAATGGAAAAGAACTACCTTAAAGGGCGGCAGTCGTCGTGCCGCGTCCTGTTCAATATGGAACTCATAGCGACGTATACAACGCGTGTAAAATACATTGTTTATTTACATGAAATTCGAACACGCGCTGCGCGACCACCGAGCTTTAAAGGTTCATGTTCATATTTTAAAACCCTAACATCGCCGAGAGAGGGCGCAACGCACAAGCACGCCCTCGAGGTTGACATTAGCATTTAAAGATGGCGGCGCCCGTGTAATTAAAACGTGTCGGTGTGGATTAGAAACACATGACGCCGCTAAACATTCTGTAATCCCAAAGAAATAAATCCACGTATACAGATCGGAAGACAAGAAGGTAAGCTTACTCGTAGAAGAGAAACTACTGTGAACAATTAAGTTAGTTTAATTGTGCTTCGTCTCTTTCCCCGTTAATTTACTATCTCGGCACGTTGGCCAAGACCTGAAACACGAGTGTGAATAGTGTCGAGCAATGCACGCCTATCTTATATCCGAATACGAATTGCGGCACGGATCTAGAAGCCGTACCTACACACGAATTGGTGACGTCACAAAATACATGACCTTCAATCGACGGCGTTTCCTCGGTTATATACGAATTGGTATATACAAATTACAATAAAGATACTTAAAGGGGAACCGCTCAATCCCATGGATTGCACCAAAGAATCATGGGACACTATTGTTTACAATGTTAATCTATCTTTTGTTATCCATTGTTATTTTAATCCAGAAAGTAAATTTGTTGTGAAATTAATCTTAACTGGAAGGTGCCCCTTTAAGACATTACACATAAGGTAAAACAAATCATGTGACAATATAATGATAATAACGGTAATAAATCCTAGCTTAACAGTTGAACAGAACGCTCATATAGTCAGTCGGGTCACGCCGAGGATCATGCACTCTGTTCCAAAATGGCCGTGTCGTTGAAACTGGGTCATGGCGTGACGGGCGAGGAAGACATCATTAAACACTCTCAAAATCACAATAAAACGGGGAAGTGGTTGCATATTACGGCGTAGCCAACATGGGAATTAAAAAAACGCCCAATACAAACGACATGGGTTCGAATCACACTAGATACACACTCACCAGAACCGAAGCAATCAGAAACCAGCAATCGTTTTGGCTTTTCCGTTCAACTCATCGGAACACTGGAGTAGTTAGAAAAATGAATACCACTTAACGACCAACGTCGTGGCGTGGTACACAAGCGTGCCATCAAAATAAAACAAAATTAGCTTGAAAAGACGGTTCGAGTCCCGCTTAGAGCTACCCTAAAAACGTAAATCAAATGAACTGAAAACTCTCAAACCGTAAACAAGTAAACAAAGAATGTCGCGAAAAAATAATAAACTTTACAAATCTCCACCATACAAAACTGAAAGAATAAATAATAAATTACTTGCGTCTTAAACTGGACGACGCCCAATTTGTTCAACAGTTTCCTGATTGTGACAAGAGATAAACAAGACCCAAGTCAAGGTAAGTTTTGTTAAAGTGTCGATGGCCGCGTTCCCTATATTACGAAAACAACTCAGGCAACAGACGAATATCTTCTGTGGTGTTGTTGAATTTATACTGTGTCTGCGGAATTGTTGATTGAGGGTTTGAAGCCAGCAGTTGAGGTGGAAATTAATGAAACAACAGGTATTTACTCATAAATATACATTGTAATGGTCAATATTTGTCCAATTTAAGAACTTGTAATTGTTGGAATTAATCAAATGAGAGTTGTCTACACCAAAATAAGTTTCAAATACTTGTCCACACATTTATTCTCCCACTTTAACAATTTGTAATTTGTGGAAGTAAATTAAATGCGACTTTTCTAAACCAAAATAAGTCTAAAATATTTGTCCACACATTTAGTCTCTCAATTTAACAACTTGTAATTGTGGGAATTAAGGTAGTGAGACTATTATTTGTGTTGAAAATTTCGATTTTCACATTTATTTATTAATTGATGAAATGCACTATAAACTTTCATCTGACAAAGTCAACGTAACCTAGAATGTCATGTAAGTTGGTTAAAATGTAGATTTTCTGAAGGGAAGCAAGGCAGCTTCAGTAGTGTTTTCTAAAATCAACAACACAAGTTTAATTTGTGTGCCTATAAGTTTCAAAGATTAACTCAAGACAAAGCAATGTTAGGATGTGTTATCAGTAGCTATCTGACACACAATGAGTGTTTCCAAACATTTGAGTGGTTTGTCTCCTCCCCTGTTTATTTCACAGATTAGTAATTTGCATATGAATG